AGACAGACAGACAGACAGACAGACAGACAGCCAGACAGACAGAGAAAGAGACACAGCGGGAGAGACAGACAGACAGACAAACAGACAAACAGACAGGCAGACAGACAGACAGACAGACAGACAGACAGAGAAAGTGTATTTGGTATGGGGTGGGGATGGGGTGATGAATTGAAGCCGAGGGGGAGGGGGTAAGGGATTGGAGGTGAATGGATGGTGTAAGAAAACAAAGAGAAAACAAACCCACAAGTACAATCGGAAATTGCCTCCTGCCGTACCAGAAGAGGAGCATAAAGAAAAATACCGCGCTGTGGAATAACGGCATTGTCACAAAAGAAGATACAAGTAACAAACATCGAACAGAATACGGTCAATACAAGTCTCCAGCACAACTGTTAGCTCGGAGATACACTATCTCGGACAGACACGTGATGGCGACAAGTCACGGAAGTACGACATCTTGATTTATTTTATTCCACCCACGGCAAAGTGAGGCTGGAAAAAGGAGGGAGTGAGGATTTAGTCTGGAAGGGTTAAGGGGTGGGGATGGATGAAGTCACTGTATTACCTACCCGTACCCCCCCCCCTTCCATGTTCTTATTCGGCTGTACTTTCCGTAAAGGCAGAATGTACTTATGTCAACATCCACTAAGCTTTTTGTTTTGTCGGTAAGTATTTTACGGCGCTCGCAACTGCATAAGGTCATATGGGCGCGCGGGACACATTAAACATTTTCAGTTTGGTACGAGTGAATTTTGAATTTTCTCAGGATGGCGGATGAAGCCCACTCTTATCGATTTAGTGCCGTCAAGGGATCTTTAACGTGCGCGACTAGCACACGAGACCTCCGAGATTTTTCGCCCTTGTCCGAGAAGGCTAGGTGTAGATCTTTCCTACCATAAGATCAGGGGTGCGGCTGAAAGACAGCAGAAAGAAGGAGCCAAGGAGTAGCAGTTGAAAGGCTGCAGAAAGAGTCAGGAGCCCCGAGGAGGGGGGAAAAGGTGGTGAGGAGGTGGGGGCAGAAAGTGGAGACGAAAAGCAGACGACAGAACATTGCTAGAGAGCAGGACAAGAGGTCAGGCGGTGAAAGGAAAACATTTTAGAGAAGAAAATGTTCCCGTCTCTACCCAGATTCGAACTCGGGACCTTTGAATGAGAGGCGAACCCGTTAACCTTTATGCCACGAGAGTCCTGACCAAGGATTAAAAGTAAAAAGCGAAACAAACAGGAAAGAGAAGAAATTTACTAAGATTTTAAAGCATGAAAAAATACCGAACACAAGCCCTAGACTAATGCTGTCTTGACACATACAGGAGTAATGAAGCCGAGTAAACCCAAATTTCTGAGTCCAGCAGGTCGGGGCAACTCTGGATACACTTTGACGAGCAATCGGCCTCCCTCCCGAGTGATATTTCAGGATCGCCGTGGGAAAGTATTACTTGGGAAGCTTGCGGAAATTTTCAAACATGCTTAATATTTTCGCCGAGCAAAAAATGAGTCGCCGAGTCAAATACTCGCT